CACACACACACACACACACACACACACTCCACCTCTCCGCCCTCGCGGCCGCTCCAGGGTCCATCCTGAAGCAACCTTGTCCTCCCTGCCCAAGCCTCAGACGTTGCAGCCTGTGGACCAAGGATGTGAAAAATAGCCCACTCAGGAGGCAGAAAAGTGAGGGGACGAGACTCTAGTTTCCGACTCCAGCAGTGGCCCAGAGGTGTCGGGAAAGCACCGAGTTTCTCCAGGATCTCCGCGTGGGCGCCCACTCGGCCCTCCAAGGGCGCAGGCCCGAGAGAGCCGCAGCCCGCAAAGCCCCGGGCCGCGTGCAGGTCCCTGCCCTACCGCCCCGCCCTCCCCGTGCTCCGCCCTCTCCGGCCCAGCCAATGGGCGCCTGGGCCGCGCGCGCGCTCTGTCCCCGCCTCCTTCGGGGAAACTTGACGGAGGAGAAAAGTTTGTACAGAGGCTGGCGGGGCGAGAAGGGAGCTGGAGACCCAACAGCTAGGGAGGAAAATGAACAGCCCCAGGTCCGAGCCCCAGACCGAGTGGACCCCGAGCGGCCCCCAGGGCACCCAGAGTGCCCCCAGCCACGGCCGCCAGCCCCGGTAGCCGTCAGCTCAGCCCGCGGCCGCAGTCGGGTCCCCGCTGCGCTCCACCTGCGCGGGCGGCGCCCCGGGACCCGACTGCCACCCCGCAAAGCTGGGCTCGCCTTTGAAGTCCGGGGAAAAGGCAAGCAAGAAACTCCAGGGCAGCCTCCCCTGCCCATCCCGCTGCCCATCTCGCTCTCCACATTTGTGAAAACTGGCCGCTCGGACCCCAGTTCCGGCAAATTGGCAGCCGCTGAGCGGGTCGCGGCTGCAGGCGGGTTGGAGGCAGGGCCGGGACGGCTGAGGCCTGACCCTGGGGCTCAGAGCTGCGCTCCCTGCTCGGCTGCAGGTAAGATGGGCTCGGTGCGGTCGCCCCGGACAGCGCGGTGGTCGGGCGCTCCGCAGAGGGCAGAGCGCGCTTGCCTCCCAAGTTGTCGTCCATAACTTGCTTTCAAAGAGAATTCTGTCGACTCGGAATGCGTCGGAACAACACCAGCGAGTCACTTTTCCCTTGAGACGGCCCTCGTCTTGGCAGCGGCGTGAACCGGGTGGGGAAAGGAGGAGGGAATGGCAGTTATCAGCTTATAAATATTAATGTCAGTGGAGTGGTGCTGTTTGCAGGGCGTATCGGGAGCCTGGGGATTTCGGTGGCCGAGTTAGTAAGTGGCCGCACTCCGGAAGATAAGACGGAGTTGTTCCCCTTGTCTCACCAGCGTATTGTTCGGGGCGCGGGTCTAACGCCTCGCAAGTGGTAATTTCCGCTCACTGCTCTTCCTCTCTTCTGCCATCTCCAGACCCGGGCTCATACTCCAAGGCCGAGCACTGAGGGCCTCTACCATGTCCACAGCTGGGATCAACACGTCCGCCTCCTTCTCCACGGACCAGCTGAACAGCCCGGCCACCATCCCGGCGGTGATGTTCATCTTCGGGGTGGTGGGCAACCTGGTGGCCATCGTGGTGCTCTGCAAGTCGCGCAAGGAGCAGAAGGAGACGACCTTCTACACGCTGGTGTGCGGGCTGGCTGTCACTGACCTACTGGGCACCTTGCTGGTGAGCCCGGTGACAATCGCCACCTACATGAAAGGCCAGTGGCCCGGGGGCCAGGCGCTGTGCGACTACAGCACCTTCATCCTGCTCTTCTTCGGCCTGTCTGGCCTCAGCATCATCTGTGCCATGAGTATAGAGCGCTACCTGGCCATCAACCACGCCTACTTCTACAGCCGCTACGTGGACAAGCGACTGGCCGGCCTCACCCTCTTCGCAGTCTACGCGTCTAACGTGCTCTTCTGCGCGCTGCCCAACATGGGTCTTGGCCGCTCGCGACGGCAGTACCCGGACACCTGGTGCTTCATCGACTGGACCACGAACGTGACGGCGTACGCCGCCTTCTCCTACATGTACGCGGGCTTCAGCTCCTTCCTCATCCTCGCCACCGTGCTCTGCAACGTGCTGGTGTGCGGCGCACTGCTCCGTATGCACCGCCAGTTCATGCGACGCACCTCGCTGGGCACCGAGCAGCACCACGCGGTCGCGGCCGCGATGGCCTCTACTGCTTGTCGGGGCCACGCCAGCGCCTCCCCAGCCTTGCAGCGCTTCAGCGACTTTCGCCGCCGCCGGAGCTTCCGCCGCATCGCCGGCGCAGAGATCCAGATGGTCATCTTACTCATCGCCACCTCCCTGGTGGTGCTCATCTGCTCCATCCCGCTAGTGGTGAGTGGCCGGCCCAGGCGGAGGTTCCACTCGCTCCACCACCCCCCCCC